TCTCTCTCCATGGAGATTCCCTGGCTGAATCCAAAGTAGGATGTTAGGAGAACAAAAACCTAAGTGTGAAAACAAAAACCAAATATAGGGAAGTAAAGTCCTAATACCTAGCAAAAGGAATTGGCCAGACCTGGGGATAGAAAAGGAACAGAAATGAGGAGGATGGCAGGTGGAAAGCTTACAGTGGGAACCATCAGAGGAAGCTGAGCACTGGAGGCTTACCCGATGCAGAAAAGGATACGGTGGCCAGAAGGGATGCTGCAGTCCCCAACAAAAAAGCCCAGGCAGCTGAGTCTTAAAAGTCAGTTCTAAGGAAAGGGGGCTTGGATGAAAAACCACTAACCTAGGGCACTTCCTGGACGTCACTAGATCAGCGAAAGCACAAGTTCCAGAAACTCAAAGCAGCTCAAGGATCCACTGAGGGTATTTCTCCAGGAGACAAAGGTGAAAACTCCTAAGCAGAAAGTAGCGCTCAGAGGCAAGGCATTCAGTAACAAGAACCCCAGAAGCTCAGAACTAAAACAATTCTCAGGATCTTTCTGGGGACAGAGAAATTTAGAGAAAAAAGCAGGAAACTGGGACAGTGAAGGAGGCATGCAAGAAGATGCAATTCTCTTGAAGAATTTCCTCTCACTATAATGTGGGGTATCCTGCCCACAAAGCAAGGAGGCTCTTTCACTAGAGATAAAGATCTTCAGCAATGGTGAACGGTGGATAGAAACAGGGCTTGAAGGAGAAATGAAAATGAAAAGGTTCTAAATCCTTGGGATGGGCACCAAGAAAGACCCAGAACCACCATGGCAAAGTTCTAAAATTTTCAAGGGAAGAGAATTTCCCTCCCCACAAAACATATGGCAAGACTAGTGAAAGACAGAACCCACTAACCTTATGAGAAGAGAGCACTTCCCAAACTAAGTTCAAATTCACAGGTGGTGGACTCCAAATTGCTTGGTAATCTAGAGAGGCTGAACTATCACATGCAAGATTATACTTACCATTGGTAATTCAGGATCCATGTTGTAAAGGAGTAGATAACAGTGGACTCACTTTCTAAATTTGACACCATGGGACCCTGACTGATACTCAAGCTACGGTTTAGATACCATCTCCTACCACTTTCTCCAGCTCACTCTGCTCCAGCCATACTGACTTCCTTGATATTCCTAGAACGTGCCAAGGACATGCCTCTCTCAAGACCTTGTCACTTGGTGTCCTCCCTGTGCATGGCTTACTCCCTCACTTCCTCCAGATCTGTGCTTAAATGTCACTTTATAATAGAGACCTTCCTGAAGACATGAACAGACATTTCTCCAAAGAAGACATACAAATGGCCAACAGACACATGAAAAAATGCTCAACATCACTCAGCATCAGGAAATACAAATCAAAACCACAATGAGAAACCACCTCACACCAGTTAGAATGACTGAAATTAACAAGTCAGGTAACAACAGATGTCGAGGATACAGAGGAAGGGGGACCCACTTACACAGCTGATGTTTAGCAAGCTGGTACAGCTACTGTGGAAAATAGTATGGAGGTTCTTCAAAAAGTTAAAAATAGAGCTACCCTATGACCCAGCTATTGCACTAGTAGGTATTTACCCAAAGGATACAAATATAGTGACCCAAAGGGGCACCTGCACCCCATTGTTTATAGCAGCAATGTCCATAATAGGCAAACTATGGAAAGAGCCCAGATGTCCATCAATAGATGAATGGATAAAGGAGATTTGGCATACACACACACACACACACACACACATAAACACTGGGATATTACACAGCCATCAAAAAAAGGAATCATCTGTGACGATATGGATGGAACTAGAGGGTATCAGGGTAAGCAAAATAGGCCAATCAGAGAAAGACAATTATCATATGATCTCACTGATATGTGGAATTTAAGAAACAGAACAGAGGATCATAGGAGAAGGGAGAGAAAAATAAAGTAAGATGAAATCAGAAGGGAGACAAACCATAAGAGACTCTTAACTCTAGGAAACAAACAGGGCTGCTGGAAAGGAGGGGGTTTGGGGGGAGATGGGTAACTGGATGATGGGCATTAAGGAGAGCACGTGATGGAATGAACACTGGGTATTACATGCAACTGATGAATCACTAAATTCTACCTCTGAAACTAATAATACAGTATATGTTAATTAAATGAATTTAAATAAAAATAAAATATAAATAAATATATTTTATATATAATGAACATATATATATTTATACATATAGAGGCCTAAATATAATAAATATATATATTACATGTATAATATATATAAAATAGAGGTCTTCCCTGACCATTAGTTGTCACTCCCTTTGCCATGCTTTCTTCCCCACCTAACATGTGATTTATTTCCTTACTTGTTTATCTCTCTCCACCATGACCCCCAAACAATTACAACACCATGTCACCTGGGACTGTTTTACTGCTGCCACAATGTCAGCTATTAGAACCTGCTTGACACAGACTAGAAAAGAAATAAACATTTGTTCAATGAATGCATTTATGCATCCATGTCATTTGAAGTTTTTGCTCCCAGTCCACATTTGACAAAAGCAAGGTGGGTCTGGACTGACTGTGCACTGGATTCTGAGAATATAATTTTGCTCTTTCCTTTTGAATAACTAATTAGTGAGAAGCAGCAGAAGTACATTAAGAATGAGGACCGTGGAGCCAGGGTCAAATCACCCTGTGTTCAAATCACTAGGTGTGTGATCCTGGACAAATTGTTTAATTTCTCTGTGCCTCATGATCTTTGTCTATAAAATAGGAACAATGGCAATGCTTTCCTCAGAAGGTTTGGTAGGTCTGAGTTGATTCAAAGAGGATACATTGTTTTGTTCTTTGTTTTGTTTTTTATTTTGTTTTTTGTTTTTTGCTCACTGCAATTCCTTTTTCTTTCTTTTTTCTTTTTTAAAGTTTTTATTTAAATTCCAGTTAGTTAACACACAGTGTGGTATTAGTTTCAGGTGTACAATACAGTGATTCAACACTTCCATATATCACCCAGTGCTCCTCACAACAAGTGCCCTCCTTCATCCACATCACCTGTTTAACCCACCCCCCACCTCCCTTCTAGTAACCATCAGTTTGCTCTCTATAGTTAAGTCTGTTTCTTGATTTGTCTCTCTCTCTTTTTTCCCTTTGCTCATTTGTTTCTTAAATCCCACATATGAGTGAAATCATATGGTATTTGTCTTTCTCTTACTGACTTATTTCTTTTTGTATTATACTATCTAGCTCCATCCATGTTGTTGCAAATGGCAAGATTTCATTCCTTTTTATTCAATTTTATAAATTCCGATATATATATATGTATATATATATACATATATATATATAAAGAAGGTGTGGTATATACATGTGATATATGTGATTATGTGATATTATATGTGATATATATATATCACACCTTCTTTATCCATTCATCAATGACGGACACTTGGGCTACTTCCATAATTTGTAAATAATGCTATAAACATTGGGGTGCATGTATCCCTCTGAATTACTGTTCTTGCATTCTTTGGGTAAATACCTAGTAGTGCGATTGCTGGATTGCAAGGTAGTTCTACTTTTAACTTTCTGAGGAACCTCCAAACTGTTCTCTGAACTGGCTGTACTAGTTTGCACTCCCACCAACAATGCAAGAGGGTTTGCCTTTCTCTACATCTTCTCCAACACCTGTTGTTTCTTGTGTTGTTGATTTTAGCTATTCTGACAATATGAGGTGGTATGTCACTGTGGTTCTGATTTGCATTTCCTGATGATGAGTGATGCTGAACATCTTTCAATGTGTCTGTTGGCCACCTGCATGTCTTCTTTGGAAAAATGTCTGTTCATGTCTTCTGCCCATTTTTTAATTGGTTTATTTGGTTTCGGGGTATTGAGTTTTATAAAATTTTTTATATATTTTGGATACTAACCCAAAGAGGGCACTTTAGACAGTGCCTGGCACATACTTAGTACTCAATAAACATAGCTATTATTGTCATCATCATTACTATGTGCTGGAAACTATTCTAAACATTTTACTTGTATTATGTCATGTAAAGATCAGTCAGAAGGTAACTGAGGCCCAGGAGCCAAGAAGAACATAGCTAATTTGTTGGCTTTTTTTAAAAAAGGGAGGTGAAGTTCACACAACATAAAATTAACCACTTTCGAGTGTATACTTTAGTGACGTTTCTTAAGTTCACAGTGTTGGGCAAACATCACATAATTCTGCTTTTCTTTTCTCAGAACAATGGTGAATACGGGAGAGAAGCATCAGGAAGACAGGAGCAGGACCTAACCTATTCAACTGCCTTCCTTCAAAGGTGGCAGCCCCTCCACCTGGTTGCCCATAAATTTGTCTGTTAAACCCAGTGGATTAGAGAACAAAAAAATTCTATGTCCCTTCCTACTAGAGAGAGCTGTGGAGTTGACACAGCTGGCCTCTAGCTGGCTTCTTCACAAGGCCAGATGGCCTTTCTAGGAAGTCTGACCTACATGAGGCCACTGTTCTCTGTCAGGTTCATGTGCTCAGACATGTTCCAGTCATAAGGCCTCTTTGTCTCAACCAGTGCCAGCACAATGCGGCTCACATTACTGATCTCCAGGAATTTGGTTCTAGTTGTTCATAATGACTACCCTGGGGGCTCAGCAATCTTAAACCTGGGGTAAGAGATAGGAAGCCTTACAGTATTTTCAATCCATCGCTATCAGGAAGCCCTAAATAAAACAGTCCATTCTTGGTCTCTACCCGCTATGAGCCAGAACCCCTGTGGGGAAGGGGACAGGTGGAAAATTCAGGCACCCTGAAGCCCAGAAAAAAGTTGGTAGTCATTAGAACTAAAACACACACACACACACACACAACCCAATGTCTTTAAAAAAAGAACTAGAACACAAGTCTCTTGACTCCCAGATGAGCATTCTTTATGCTCCCCCACATTGTGCAATTCACATATTTCACATGTTCTGAGACACAAAACAGGGACACGTACACCCACCTGCTGGTGCGGTTGTCATCATTATTTGCACTGAGTGCTGCTCAGAAGATCCCAGGAGAGTGACATTCACTGTGTAATCAGTTGCTGGGTACAGGTCTAAACATACCACTGGAGCTTGTTCCCTTGTTGTAAAGTTAAATGATGTTGCATGATAAAAATTATTCAGATACCACCTTTGACCCAGAACTTTAAACTGTCATGAGATTAAAAGAAAGGGTTGCATTAAATTTTCTGTTGGCTTGCAGATATCTAGACTATAAGCAAAACAGAGATAAAGCAAGAAGGTTCATTCTGTTCTAACAGAACAGAATTATTTTTAATACAATAGCAAGCTAAACTGGGGATGGACTTTACCTACTCTCCCTATCCTATTCAATGTCCCCCTCCCCAGCTACAGGACAAAGCTTAAAATGCATAACTGCATCTCAAATGAACAAAATGTAGGCTATTCTAAGATAACGATGTCCTGCCAGGTAAAGAAGATGGCACTGGAGCTATTGGGCAAATCCTTTTAATTTCTTTTCATTCATAAAGAATCCACGGATAAGCCTCATGAAACAGAATTTTTGAACTTTATGAGGATTCCTCCCAATTATGCATTTAAAGCAACTGTGCAAGGGTACTTCACTTGGTCCTTCCTATTAGAGCTCTGGTAAAAGAGTTTTTGGTCCATGGATTCATCATGCACACTGTTAGCCTTTAATACTCTATCCATTGCCAAACCAAGATGCATGTATAATATAGGGACTTATAAGGGAAAAAATATGTGAAGGTCCCAGAAGTAATACGCTCAACCCCTGATCGATCTGTGTGCTACAGCTGGGCATTTTGTGTTTAGCGTTTCCTTCGATGCTCATGTCATTGGCTATGACCACCCTCCATCCTTCCTCATCACTGCCATTCTTCCACAGTCATCCAAGACCCTGACACCTGGCTCATTGGGAGTTTCCCCTCTCCCCCAATTCCTAGCATTCTCTTGGGTAACCTAAAGGTCCTTACAGACAAGCCATCAAGCCTTGGCCTCAGAGATCCTTGAGCTCAATGCTATGAAGTTCCTCTGCTCCACTTTAGCTACTCATATCCATGGCCACATCCCAGGATGTGTCATCCTCAGAGCTGCTCCAAGATCTCACAATCTCCTATCCCTCTGGCCCACTCATCCATTATGCCTGATCTCTCTCAAAAAACCCCTAAGATTTCCTCATTTGAGATCTTCTACCCATATTCTACCACCCCCATCCTCGTCTTCCCAAGCTCTCTCAGGTACCCTATCACTTCAATTATTCTCTTGCCTGAGACCCTCAATGCCCTTAACCCTCTGTTCTCAATTTCACCCATTCTAGAAAACCCGAAACACACTGGGTCAATCCAGATATTTGGCTTCACCAGTTCTACATTTAGGCTGCTGCCATCTGCTGGAAAAGACCTCACAACTAGGTAGCCTGCGTTTCTACAAACTCAGTCTCATCCTAAACTCCACGTGGTTTTGTCTACAAACAAAAAATAACTTTCTGGTTACAAACACTGTATGCACAAATTTACTGTAAAGTTATTTTATTTAAAAATATACTGTGAAGTTTTTTTTCTCTGTCATTAATTGGTTCTATAAATAAATATACAGAGTATACAGTGTTGGATATACAGTGGCAATTAAGGTACAGGTCTAACCTCAAGGAACTCACCAATGAGTATCCAGGCAAACAAAATACCCAAGGATAAGTGCTAGAATACATGAGGAGCACGCAGGAGGGACACCTAACCCTCCTCTTTGGGGATCAGGAAAAGCTTCCCTATCTAAATTTGGACCCGAAGAGAAATTAGCATTAACCAGGTGAGTTGCAGACAGGAAAAACAATTCAGACAGCAGGAACGGTGTTTGGGGCAGAAGGTCAGTGAAGCCTTCCTACCAGGGGAGATGACTGAGCTGAGCTTTGTGGATAAACAGGAGTCAGCCGGATAGGGTAAAGGAAGGAAGGGCATTGCTGGTAGGAGAGTCACATAAGTGAAGACACAGTGCGAAAAAGAACACAAAAAGTTAATCAGGGAGTATGGGCCTAGAGCTTATAGAACAGATGAGGCCTGGAGAAACAGATTTAGGACTTACCAGCATAGAGACAGTGAAGGAAGTAAAGAGGGATACAGAATGACAAGAGAAGGAGCAATGTACAACCTTGAAGGTATTCAGATTTAAGGGACAGGCAGAGGAAGGGAATCCTAGGAAGGAGAAATAGAATGGGGTCAAAATAATAGGAGAGGGGCGCCTGGGTGGCTCAGTTGGTTAAGCGACTGCCTTCGGCTCAGGTCATGCTCCCGGGGTCCTGGGGTCGAGCCCCACGTCGGGTTCCCTGCTCAGCAGGGAGCCTGCTTCTCCCTCTCCCTCTGCCTACTTGTGCTCTCTATATCTCTGTCAAATAAATAAATAAAATTTAAAAAAAAAAAAATAATAGGAGAAACAGAGACCATTTCAACAGGAATATTGGTCAATAGCAGCAACTGCTATTCAGTGTGAGGTAGAACATACTTCATATCTGCAAAGGGTTCTATCAGATGAATGTATGATCGTTTATTTAGCCAAATCCCTACTGATGAACGTTTAAGTTGTTTCCAATTTCCCCTCCTACAAACAAAGCTTCAGGGAACAGCTGAATCTTTCTGTATATGTCTGCTTAATTAGTTACAGCTCATTTCCAAAAATTTACTGAGGCTAACAAATAAGAAATAACTATTCCAGAAAAGTCATGCCAGTTTAACTGGCCAGCAACTGCGTATAACAGTACTCCATGCTTGGGGCGCCTGGGTGGCTCAGTCGGTTAAGTGTCCGACTCTTAATTTCAGCTCAGGTCACGATCTCAGGGTTGTGAGATCGAGTCCAAACGCCTAGCGTGGAGCCTGCTTAAGATTCTCTCTCTCTCCCTCTTCCTCTGCCCCTCCCTCCACCTTGCATATGTGCTCTCTCTCAAACAAACAAACAAAAAATAGTACTCTATGCTTATAGAAGAATCATGGTATCTTGTGGTTTAATTTTTTTTTTTTTTTTACTAGTGAGGTATAACGTGTTCATATGTGTTTTGGAGATTATATATATATTACCTACAAGTCCTGGCTCTACAACTTAACTGCATGACACACATATATATATTTAACCTCTTTTGCAAACTGCCTCTGAATATTCACGTTTTACAATGGATCTGTTAAGAGTATTTTACATGTTACTTAAATGAATCTTTAACATATTAAAAAACAACTTCTTTTCCCAACTTAACTCTTTAATCATTTTAGTGTAAATGCAAAGAATCATTTATTTTCTCAACAAAGTAGCTAACCAATTGTCCCAGGACCATTTATTTTCACACCAATTTTTAAAAATCATCTAAACTTTATCTGGGTACCTGAATATGTTTCTAGCCCCTGTGTTCCTTCTAAATATGAAAATTTGAATATTTGGCTCACCTGCTGAAAATCCTTCAGTGGCTCCACAGAGACATTAAAAATAAGATTGAAACTCAAAATTATAGGGCTCTTCATGATCTAGTCACTGCTCAGGTTTTTGCCTCATCTCTTCCTATTCTCCCTTGCTTTCTTTGTTCCTAAGAGAACCATGTTCCCTAATATTCAAGATGCTTCTTTACTTGCCCACAGTGCTCTTCTTCACCTTCACCTCACACCTTTGATCTGGTTGAGTCCCACTCATTCTCTATGATTTAGCACAGTCTTTGCTTCTTGTTAAAAACAAACAAAAAACAAAACCCTACCTGGACATACACACATGCACACAATCCCCCATTTATTTACCTTTTATCAAAGCACTCATTATACCACACTGTCGTTTACTTGTGTATTTACATTAGTGTGAATTGAAAGTTATAGGTCCTGATACATGATATTCTTTTGGCAAATGGCTAATGAGTGAATGAATGAATTTTAATACTTAGTCTACTCTGCCAAAAGATTTGCAAGGCACTAAAAGTGACACAAAATAACGAATCTCAGTTCCTACCTGAATTTACCAATCATTTTACTTGAGAAGTGTGATTTTTAAAAAGTCAAGTTAAATGAGGACCAATAGCCATACAATGAGTTTCTTAACAATCTACAAGCCAGTGTGAATTTGATGACAGAATAAGCTGCAATTATAAAATGCACTAAAACAAAATATAATACATACATGTGAAATACCAGACAGGGAAACTGATAGCAAGTCACCCACTATAGTGTCTTCCTCCAACTTAGTCCCCCACTTGGCACCCATCTCACATCCAACTCTAGAGACAAAAATCAAACTGTCTAGAAGTTCATTCCATGAACTTTGGATCCTCACTTGGGAGAGCCCTCAAATTTTTAAGTGATGCAATACATTGACAGATAACATGAGAGATCTTCTTACTTGGTACATTTGTTCTGATCCAAGTTTCCTGGGGTGCCTGTTCAGTTTCAAACAAGCTTCACTGAATACTGAAATATTGAAAATTCCATCATCTTCTAAGAGATCATCTTCTAAAAGATAAAACATATGGAAAAGTTGCACGTCTTAGCAAAACATATCTTGGCTAAGTACAATTGAAACTCTGACGTCTTACAAGAGCCAACAGGGTGTTTAACAGCAAGAGCATCCCATCTGCCTACAAGTCCTGGCTCTACAACTTAACTGCATGACCTCAGCTAAGTCACTTAACCCCTCCAATCCTCAGTGTCCTTCTCTGTGAAATCAAGTAATCCGGTTTGCTTTTCTTATATCACAGGCTACTGAGAGAATCAGATAAAATAATTCATATTTAAAAATCACCATAAACTAGGGGCACCTGGGCGGCTCAGTCAGTTAAGCATCTGCCTACAGCTCAGGTGATGATCCCGGGGTCCTGGGATCAAGCCCCACATCAGGCTCCCTGCTCGGGGATGGGGGAGGGAGCCTGCTTTTCCCTCTCCCTCCTGCTCATACTCTCTCTCGCTATCTCTCTCTCTCAAATAAATAAATAAAATCTTTTTTAAAAAATCACCATAAGGGGCGCCTGGGTGGCTCAGTCATTAAGCGTCTACCTGCAGCTCAGGTCATGATCCCAGGGTCCTGGGATCGAGCCCCACGTCAGGCTCCCTGCTCCACAGGAAGCCTGCTTCTCCCTCTCCCACTCTCCCTGCTTGTGTTCCCTCTCACACTGTCTCTCTCTCTGTCAAATAAATAAACTAAATCTTTAAAAAAAAAAAATCACCATAAACTAATAAAGCTGTGATATTTTTAGAAATTTCATCTTATCACCTGGATAGTCCATACATTAAATGTCCTGAAGGTAAACATGTCAACATCTAAAAAGTCTGAGCATAAGGAAAAGGTGAATGAAAGTCAGAGACCATGGATCAGAACTCTCAGAGTGGGTGGTGTTTCTAACCTAGAAGATGAACAGAGAGGAGATGTTCACTTCACAGAAGACAGTATTTCAAGAGCTACTCAGGTAAGGACGAAGGCAGTAAAATAATCAGAGAGGAGACTTATTTCAACAACTGGATTTTTAAGAAAAAGGCCATTTCATTCCTCCTGTAGTCTAATTTATTCCTTCCATGGTCTATTTTCTTCATGTAGTCATGAAGAAAGAAGAGGTTTGTTACTAATGAGTAAAAAATTCCCAGAGTGTCCGGGAATACCACAGCTAATTTTCAAGGAAGAGCAACTTTCCCAACAAGCCAGTACATTTTCTACAAATGACAAAAAGTTTAAACGTCTAACAGAGAGAAACTTTTTATAACTACCTAGAAAACTACATTTCTCCCATGGGAGCCTGCTCCCTAAGAAGGAAGAAGAACAAATTATTCTATTCAAAATCAAAACTGCCCACAGCATATTACATGTCACTCACACATGCAACACGAGGCAATTAGCTGGGGGAAAACATTCTGGCTATAATTGGAAAATGTAAAAATACGGTTACGAGAGAAAACTTGAGGACCTAGCACATGCGTTCCCCTTTATCTTCACAGCTTTTAAAGATTTCATAAAGACATCAGAAATGAAAATTGCTGTGTGTTTGCATATGATTTTGAGGGACACCAAATATATGTATGTAAGAAATACCACATGCAGGATGTCTGTTCACAAACAGAACATAAAGCAGAAATACTGTCTGCACAGCTCCCATCCCAGTACGACTGGCTCACTCACAGCCACGGGAGTCTGAACTCAGGGGAAGATGGGGATGTGAACAAAAGCATCTGATTCCCACTTCCCACCCCTAATCCTGACAGAAGTGGCGAATAGGAAAAAGGGGTCACAATTTGCATCTGGGTTGGAAGGAAGGGTTGGTTGACATACACAAGGCATCAACATGAAGACGTTTCCGCTTAGCACGTGTGGAGACCAGACAAAAGAAAAGATGCTGAGAGCTACAATGTACAACATGCCCCCAAGCAAAGGAGGCTGGTCTCAATGTCTTCAAAGAAGGAACTGTGGAAGGACTGGGGCCCACAAGATGGGGACTAGAAGTGAGGAGGGCAACAGGACAAATAAGTGATGGATGCTCCATCTGCAACAATTTAGCCTGGTCGTTCCTGATCCTGCCTGCACATCAGAATCACCCAGACACAGCAGATCTGAGGTACGAACGCACATCTGTATTTTGTTTTACCCTGGCTGCCTGTATTTTGACAGGCAGCCAGGGTAAAAACCATATATACTACTATGACTACTACTACTAGTGATAATAATAATTATAGTCCCTCCTTAGCATACTAGAGATCAGTAACATGGAAGGACTTCTATGGGGAGGTCTAGAGACCTGGAGGTTCCACCTGACAGAGAGCCTGGGTGGGCAGAAGGAGGGACTTGGTTCTCTCCTGCCTCTGTAGACCATAGCATCATAATGAAGTCCGACAACACAATGCTAATGGAGAGCAACAGTTTCACCAATGAAGACAGCCAAGTGCTGAGGGGCACCTAGGTGGCTCGGTCAGTTAAGCGTGGGACTCTTGGTTTCAGCTCGGGTCATGATCTCATGGGTGGTGAGATCCAGCACCACCACCCTCACCCCCCCAACCTTTACCCCTCCCCCACCCCCACAGGTTCTGTGCTCAGTGGAAAGTCTGCTTGAAGATTCTCTCCCTCTGCCCCTGCCCCCTTCTCTCTCGCTCTCTCTCAAATAAGTAAATCTTAAAAAAAAAAAAAAAAAGATAGCAAAAATGCTCAGAAATAGGGGCGCCTTGGTGGGTCAGTCAGTTAAGTGTCTGACTCTTGATCTCAGCTCAAGTCTTGATCTCTGGGTCATAAGTTCAAGCCCCGTGTTGGGCTCCACACTGGGTGTGGAACCTACTTTTAAAAAAAAAAAAAGTGCTCAGAAATAAAGCTCAGGGCATTGGCTTTCTCACAGCTAGCTGCTCCAGGTAGGGATGCTGGATTATCCAATCAGCAATAAATCTTTCAAGATGAGATCTGAGATAAGCACATTAATATTATCCAATAAAAAGTAAGATCAAAGAGAATGTCATCCATTTTATTACAAGAGAAATATCAAACCTAGATAAAACTTTTATCTTCTAACAATAAGTAATCTAGAAGCAAAAAACAACAACATGAAAATGATTCTATGAAATGATTCTACAAAGAAGATGTGCTTAAGAGGCAAAGAATGAATATTCTTTTGAAAAAAAAATATTGAGCAAACTAATAGTAAAATTAGGCAACATCTTTTTTGAATTTCCAGTAAAAAATTTTAAAGATGGATTAAAACAGATAAAGGATGAGTTAATAAGAGAATGCATGAGGGGCGCCTGGGTGGCTCAGTCATTAAACGTCTGCCTTCGGCTCAGGTCATGATCCTGGGGTCCTGGGATCAAGCCCCACATCGGGCTCCCTGCTCAGTGGGAAGCCTGCTCCTCCCTCTCCCACTCCCCCTGCTTGTGTTTCCTCTCTCGCTGTGTCTCTCTCTGTCAAATAAATAAAATCTTTAAAAAAAAAGAGAGAGAGAATGCATGAGAGGAAACTGGTTGAGAGAGGCAGAAATAAAAAGGGAACTAGATGAGGGGCACCTGGCTGGTTCAGTCAGTAAAGCATGTGACTCTTGATCCTGGGGAAATGAGTTCAAGCCCCACATTGGGCGTAGAGCTTTAAAAAAAAAAAAGGGAACTAGATGAGACAAGGAAATACAAGTCCAACAACAAAATATAACATGCATTAGAAATAGTGAAGACCGGGGGCGTCTGGGTGGCTCAGTCGTTAAGCGTCTGCCTTCGGCTCAGGTCATGATCTGGGATGACCCGATCATGGTCCCAGGGTCCTGGGATCGAGCCCCGCATCGGGCTCCCCGCTCTGCGGAGAGCCTGCTTCTCCCTCTCCCACTCCCCCTGCTTGTGTTCCCTCTCTCGCTGTGTCTCTCTCTGTCAAATAAATAAAATCTTTTTTAAAAAAAGGAAAGAAAGAAATAGTGAAGACCAGAAAAGTTGATGCACATATGCATAAATGTCTGTACAGAATAAACCTGCTGTGCTCTCACAGAAGACAGAGGTAAAAGGCAAGGATATAAAAAGGGAGAGAGTGAAGACCAGGGCAGACAAACAAGGAATTCCATATAGGGAGCATTTGATCAGCCAAAATACCAAATGAAAAAAAAAGCAATAATCAGAGATTTCATGAAAGAAACTATTTCTAATGTGTAAATGTGATGTGGGAAACAAAGGCAAAAGAAAGAATCAAGTTTCCTTACTGCCTAGAGACCACTGACAAGTCCTTGAAATAGGTGGAGTGACCTTCCTCTGGGAGCTCAGCTGCCTGGATGTTGACACTTTGCTAGGGGCAAAAGGCAATCTTAGCCCAACCGCCCCCCACCCCCATCCTGTGAGTCTACTTGAACATACACATTCCTTTGGAAACTTCCTTTATCTCTACCCCACCACGATACATGTGAGCAATCATCCTCCAAGCATATGGCCCACTGATACACATCTGAAGGGTCTCATGACTAAGGGTTTACTAGATAGTAATAAATGACCTTCTCCTAACAATAACTAGTTCCCTCAGGATCCTGGAAACCTTGTTTCCGAAACATCTTGGAGGCTTGTGCTGTCCGTAACCCCCTACCAACTTGAAAGTATATAATAAGTCACCCGTCACAACCCCAATGCAGCACTTTCTGCCCACGGGTCCTGTCCCTGTGCAATAAAACCACCATTGGCTCTGAACCCCACCACTTCAAACTACATCAAATGGACCAAAATCTGAAGATCCAAAAACCTTCAGAGTACTAGGAAAACTTAGTGAAAAACAGTAACATTTATATCACGCCTGAGTAGTTTTCATGAGGGAAGGGATTTTTCTGTCTCATTCACTACTGAATTCCCAATGCCTAAAATAATGTCAAACACACAAGTGGTCAATAAACACTTACCATGTGCATGAATAAATAATTAGTCTTGAATTTCACACATAAAGAAAGCCTCTGTGATATCAAGGCTTAAAAATTAGATTATCTATAATAGGATTTTTTCTAAAAAATCACACCCTCTTCAAATTCTCTTTC